TATATTAACAATATACTAAAAGGCGTGGGAAAGCACTGTAGCTTCCCCACGCTTTTTAATAACATTTATATATAATAATAATATAATTATTATTATAATAATAAGAATTATATTATATTATAATTTTTTTTCTTTTTTCCTTATTTTTTTTGTTTTTTTTTGTTTTTTAATAATTTTTATTGTTTTATTAATAATATACTAAAAGGCATGGGGAAGCCTTTTAATAATATTTATATATAATAATAATAATAATATATTATTATTATTATATTATAATATTTTTTTGTTCTTATTTTTTTTAGGCTTTTTGGGGGTTAACCTAGAATTTTATTTTTTTATTTTTTTCTTTTTAATTAATTTTTTCATTTAGTTTAGTTTGTTAGTGTTAAATTTTTTATATTTAATTATTAGACTTTCATGACACGTTTCTCAAGCTTAACAGGTTAACCCAATTAATTATGGGTTAACCCGTCAAATTATTTTTTCTATTTAGTTATCAAACTTTCATGACGCAAATTTAAGGTTTGACAGGTTAACCTGATTTGAAGGTTTAACCCGGTTAATTTATATTCAAATCAGGTTAACCCATCAAATTCGGGATTTATTAACAAACTAAATTAAACAAAAAAATTATTAAAACAAAAAAACAAAAAAAAAAGCAAAAAAAACCCATAAAGGCATAAAAAACAAAAAAAATAGAAACATAAGAACAAAAAACTATTATGATATAATTATAATATAATATAATAATATAATTATCATTATAATAATAATAATTATTATTATTATTATCGGACTCGTTTAAACTTAAGTTATATAAGTTTAATGTTATTATAAATATTACTATTCGGACTCACTTAAACTTAAGTTATATAAGTTTAATATTATTATAAATATTACTATTGGGTCAAGCGTTGTAGCTAAACCAAAGACTTTTTGATATATCTTTATAGAAATATATAACACTCTTAGATCTTAACTTTTTTTGATATTTTTTATGCAAGAAAAAAAAAATAACTCATGGTGTATGCATTTGTTTTGTTCTTTTTCTTTTTTTTTTAAGTCTTTTACTGTGGATTGCACAGTGCAATCCACAATGAAAAAGTTGATGCCTTTAGTTTTTGTTTTTGTTTTTATTTTTTTTCTTTTTTTTTGTTTTGTAATTTTTCTTTTAATTTAGTTTCTTAATATTAAATTTTTTCTATTTAATTATTATATTTTCATGACACAGATCCCAAGTTTCCGGTTAACCCGATTGATTCAGATCCCAAGTTTGACCGGTTAACCCGATTGATTCAGATTGTTTTTCTTTTTCCTCATCACTTTTATTCTTTCGATTTCATCTTTTAATATTGTATGTAGTCCACGGTGAAAAAATTGATGACTTTAGTTTTTTTCTTTCTTTTTATGTCTTTTCATTGTGGTCTAGACAATACAATGTATGGTGAAAAAATTAATGCTTTTTTTTCCTTTTAATTAACTTTTTTTATTTTTTTGTTGATATTAAATTTTTTTCTATTTAATTCTCATACTTTCATGACACGAATCTCAAAATTTGATGGGTTAACCCAGTTAATTCAATATTTTTTCTTTTTCTTCATTGGTTTTTTTTTTCTTGTTGGTTTTTTTTTCTTTGTTTTGTTTTTTTAATTAATCTATTTAAGTATCATATTTTTATGACACAACTTTGCAGCCAAACTCATATCCAAGACTATTGGGTTTGATATTGTAGTCAGACCCACTTAAACTTGAGTTTTTTAAATTTAATGTTATTATAAATATTACTCTTAATTCCAGCGTTGAAATCAAAGCTAAGACTCTTGGATATAACTTTGTAAAAAAACCTAATACTTTTGAGATTTTAGTTTTTTTAATATTTTTTATGTACAAAAATTGACCAGCGGTATCGCGTGGGTCATTTAACTAGTATATATAAATCCATGTTGTCATATGATTGATGAATTTTCTCAAATCAACTATATCACCTTGAATAACTAGGACTAGTTAAGAAACTCTTGTAAATTAATTTTGTAATTTTTTTTAGCTAAAAAGAAGAATTAATTTAGGTTTTTTGCATGGAATATAATCAAATTCAATTTTAAACAAATATTAAGAATTGAGCATGTTATATTTTGATAAAAACTAAGAAATTACTACCAATGAATCAAACTCTCATCGATGAAAAATGTATTAACTAGTTTATTTGTTACTTGTTAATTATTGATATTTGATTGTTATCTCAAGTAGTGTTTGGTATGCTAAGTAATATTAATTAGATTTGACTGAATATGATTGGACAAATAATTATCTTGTCCTATGTTTAGTGTGTTATAAATTGAATTAGACTAGATAGGATTGGACAAATCTTGTCCTATGTTTGATGTGCTATGAATTCTACTAGACAATTTATTTTATTTTGCATTTGCTAAAAATCAGATAAGACTCGATCGATTTAAGATCTAGATCATTTTGAGTTTAAAAAGAAATAGATGAAGGTTGATACGACTTGACCTAGTCAAAAATTTAGTGAACCTGCGACTCAGATGAGCCAAGATAAAACACGGGTCAGAAATCCATTAACTTTTTATATATTTCTTCGGTCAAAATGAGATTACTTTGATTTTTTTTAATTTGGATCAACGTAGATTGACCTTCCTTAATAATCATTTTTATTCTTACATTAATTTAGATCAACTTAAGTTGACTATCCTAATACATAGCTTGTGCTTTGTTTTAGGTTGACCTCTTAATTGGGTTTTAAAAATATGGTAGTGATTATTTTTATCTTTGTGTTAACGTGGGTCAATAGTTAACCCGTCCTATGACCTGAGTTTGGCCCCAAGTTAACACTTAAGTAGGGTTTTAAAAGTATAATAATAACTTTTCCTATCTTTATATTGACCCAGGTTAATAGTCTATCCGGCCCATGACCCAAGCCTAGCTCAGTGTCAACTCTTAAGTTGGGTTATAAGACTATGATAATAATCATTTTTATCGTTACGTTAACTTGAGTTAATGGTCAGCGAGACCTATGACCCGAACTTCTTCTCAGGTCCTCCCTCAAGTTCAGTTTCAAAACTATAATAATAATAATAATTTTTATATTTAAGTTGACTTAGGTTAATGGTCAACCCTACTTGTGACCCGAGTCTGATCTTGTGTCGATCCTCTAGTTGAATTTTAAAAATATGATAATAACCATTTTTTTCTTATGTTGTCCCGAGTTAATGGTCAACTTGACCCATGACCTAAACATAGCCTTGGGTCGACCTCCAGATCGAGTTTTAAAACTATAATAATAATCATTTTTATCCTTACATTGACTCAGATTAATTATCAACCCGACCCATGACCTTCGTCTGGCCCCACATCGACCCTCGACTCGAGTTTTTTAAACTATGATAATAATCAATTTTATCCTTGTGTTACCTGAGTCAATGGTCTCAACCCGCAACCCAGGCCTGCATTTAATTCGACTACCAAGTCGTGTTTTAAAATTATAATAATTATTATTTTTATTTTTTTGTTGATCTGGATTAATGGTCAACCCGACCTGTTACTCGAATTTGTTGATCTGGGTTAATGGTCAACCCGACCTGTTACTCGAATTTGACCCCGGTTCATTCCTGAGTTATATTTTAAAATTATAATAATAATATTGTTTATCCTTATATTGACTCGGGTCAATGGTCAACACGGCATATAACCCGAGTCTTACCCTAGGTTGGCCTCTAATCAATTTTAAAAATATGATAACAATCTTTTTTATCTATTAAAATATTTTTAAATAAAATAAAATATATTTTTTATATTATTTAATGATACACCAAACAACTTTTAAAAAAAAAATTATCATATCTAGGAAATCATTGTCCAGCTTACCGATCACTGCCTCAAGGACTTGTGCTTTGTTTTCTTGCCATGGGTCGTAAAATTTATCTGTTGGTTATTGGAAGTGTAATTAACAATTGCTCACTTCACCTTCGTTTACTCGCTAACAGCTGAGGCTATTCTTATTCACTCCAATAGTAAAAGGTCAATTTCTGAATTAAGAATATAAAATTCAGCCACCGAATTAAGGTGGCTATTGCGGCGGTAATTGTTTTTTTTTTTTTTTTTGGTTTTTGGATTGGTGTGAGTCGTGGTCCTTCAATTTGGGAAAGGGCAGCCATAGCTTTATTTATTTATTTATTTATTTATTTATAAAAAAAAGTTGTTTCCTACTCTTCTTGAAAAAAATCATTTCACCCATGGGATGGCCGGGGCTCAGCTTTCACATCCTTTTCTAGTAAATCGTTGGACCTCGTCACCTAGTGACTGTACTAAAAATGTAAATGGTCTTGTATAAATTCATTGCTTTAAAAAAAAAATACTAATTGCACAATCTAACTATGCATATTATGGATATTAAATCCGGATGGATAAATTAACCCGAAGACTTGCTAATTTGAAATTTAGTTTGAGTGAGATTTTAAATAAAATAAAATAAAATTTATTTGATCAAATTTAATTGACCCGACAAATCAATTTATAATCTTATCAACTTGATAAAAAAAAATTTAAAAATTAAAATAATATAATTTTAAATTTTATATAAAAAAAATTTAAAAAATTAAAATAATATAATTTTAAATTTTATTAAATAAAACTCTTCGATATAATTTTAAATTGATCCAAAACAACTTACTTGACTTGTTATTCGAATTTTAGAATGAGTCACAAACTGTCGAGTGTAATAAATTTGATGAATATTCAACCTCTTTCTGGCAGTACACACACATATACTCAGTCTTTTCTTATAAACAATCATGGTATTCAAATCTTGCCACATGAATATAGATCAAATCTAGAATGCTAATGTTTTGAGAATCAGTACAATTCCCATAACAATTTAGGTAATTGAATATGAACAGCATGGTAAGATAGAATTTACAGGGTAATTCAGTTCCTTATGCCTAGCACTAGCTAGCTACATGTTGGCTTTCTACTATACATCATAGTTATATTGCAGAAACATTGCTGGGGTCATGGGATATTGCAGTGATAGGAGCATACCCAAAAACAACACCAAATATCTTGATTTGTCTTTCAGCCCGAACCCTGTATGCATGTGCTGTGGCGGCTTTGTTTGTCTCCTTGTGGAACTCGATCATGTCACCAGCTTTAAGGCCCTTGCTATCAACAAATGCGAGCCAATCCTTTGAAAGAACTGGTTTTGGGTGCCTTCGTTTGCGAATGGAGCATTTGAAGGTCCAAACCTCACCACTTTCATCTACAGCTTGAAAATATACAGCATGAGCACCATCGAAGGACGGAAGAGAGCTGAGAGACCTGGTTGGCACTGCGAGTCTCTTTCGGACATCTGTCTTGCTAAGTTTCTTTGAGAACTTTGCCATCAATCTGTTAATAAGCCAAGTGAGTCTTTGAGGATGGATTCTAATTTTGGGCTCAGTACTGGTAATTTATTTATATGTCTTGCAAATGGCACAGTGTAGCCTCAACTTGCTCATCGTGCGATTGTACTAGGGAAAGCGAGAGGAACCGTCCGAGTTTTCGTATGTGGGATGGCATTTGACTAGTGTTTGAAAACAGTGTTTTTTTTTAATTTTTTAAAAAATTATTTTTATTTTTTATTTAAAATAAAAAAAATTATGTTTTTGAATAGATTTATTGTACAGATGTTAAAAATAATTTTAATATATTTTTTAAAATATATATTTTAAACCATCATTATTATCACAAATTTCAAATATACATTAAAGGTTGAGGCAGTAAAAGGAGAAAATTAAAATCAAACTGTACGATTAGTTCTTGAAGGGGACCAGAAGAGAATCGGAAGAGAAAAAAAATAAAAAATAAAAAGGACATCGCCTCGTCCGATTACCATATTCATATTGCATTCCATGTTGTGTTGTTCATGCATCTGAATTCAACTAGTTGTATGCTTGGCGTCTGTGTGTTTTCAGAAACGTGTAGAATATTTTTACAAACTATAACTTAATCAGACCTCAGTAACCATCTTTGATGAAGAATAACAATTACTTTTTTAAATATTTTTTATTTAAAAATATATAGATATAATTTTTTAAAAAGATATTTTTTAATATTATTATATCAAAATAAATAAATAAAATATAAAAATTTTCTTGAGAAGATATGAAGAAGTGCTGAGCTTAAACTCTTTTTAATAAAAAAATATAAAAATATAAATTTTCATTGAAAAAAATAAAATACTTTTTAAAAAAATATATAAATAAAAGAGCTCAAAAACATCACTCTTGGATGTGTGGTTACTTAGAATCCATTCTTTGAGAAGATATGGAGAAGTGTTGAACCTGAAAGTTACTAGAGTGAAAATTAATAGTTGATTTGAAACCAAATTAACTCATAATAAAATTGAACCCAGTTGGATTTTAAGTTATTCAAATCTTGTGATAGAATTCATTTATTCTTCTCTTATTTAATTAAACTAATAAAAAAAATAAAACATTATTATAATTTTACTTTTTTATCTAAACAACAAGGGTAACTTCAGCCTAGTGTTTTCACGTATATCTTCTATCCACCTCTTGTCTTTTTTCTGCACCTTATTCCTGTTTAATATTGTAATAATAATTACGGTTTAAAATATTTTTTATTTAAAAATATATTAAAATAATTTTTTTTATTTTTTAAAAAATTATTTTTAAAATTAATATATCAAAACAATATAAAAATATTAAAAAATTAATTTTTAATAAAAAATATTTAAATTTTTAAAAAATATAGTTTCAACCTTATTTCTAAATAAATCAATAAATATTCGATTGGGTCAGAACATGTGGTGATGGTCATCAGGTTCTAAAAAGACGAAATTACTGTGGAAAATATTGAGCCAATAATATTAGACTGGTAGCCTTCTGGACATTCGAGGACTTATTGTAATGCTTATCTTGCCAAAATCTGACCAAATCGCACCCAAGAGGTTGGATCTCTGAATGTTTTAAAATTTTAATTAATTTCAGAAACTAAGTATTGAAATTGGTGTGTTCAAAATCAATTCTGGCCAATCCTTAGACATTTCAAACACCTAGGGAAGCCATTATTCAACAAAATGAGCACGTCTATTTGATTATATATGCTCATATCCATGGATCATGATGGACCCCTAGCCGATACAATGTATTTGATGATGTATGTTTATACTCATGGAAAACACCTCTTCAAAAAACAAAAATATGATTTTTATATTATATAAGCTATTAAGATCCTCATCTTGTAACTGATATGAGATATTAACGTCTTAATTATTCCTGGAGATAATAAAGATCATATGATTGATGTCAGCCCATGACTCTGTGACTGTTGATGTTTTTATAATAATGTTTTAATCTGATTTTTTTTCATAACTCTCTAACCACTAGCCAATAACTTGTAGTAGGTTTTTAAGGAGATTGTATTTAAGAAAGTCAATTAAAAAGGAATATTTAGGCCTCAAGGATACCATTTAAGTTTTCTTTAAATTTACCGAAGGGGATGTATATTCCATAGAACAAGAAACGAAAGAGAGAAATACTCCCCCTCTTGAAGAACTGAAGATCGAAATCGATCATCAGAACTAATTTCAGGCAAGTCAGTCCTTTCCGATCCTCAGAAACACTCCACCTGCACTTGGAATTCAACGTTAGCCGGCTGTGGGGACATGAAAATTTCCAAGGAGCAGTTGCAAGCTCACACCATGACGATGCACTATCGAGTGTCCTCTTACACAAAATCTCCACATGACGACAAGGGTCAAGAGCAAGTCACCTTGGATGGGTCCTCTGTTCTTACAAGACACGGTCTCAAACAGAATGCAAAACGAACCTTTCTTCTGTTTTTCCTGGAGAAATTCAATCCATCTTATCCAGAATAACCTTCGAAATCAACGCTAAAATGCTTTTTAATTGTCCCTTTCTTCGGAGAATGCATCAGCTGAGATGTTTTTTTATTCTCTAGTGGGCTTCAATGGACTTTGAAATAACCCCTTGTGTTTGAATCCTTGTAGCTTAATCTCTTGCTGATCTTTATCTTGCAATTGAATCGCTTGGAGAAAAACCAATCTATGTTAATAAGAAAAGAAAAAAGAAGTAAACAATAGTGAAGGGACTAAATTGTATGATTTCAAACATGAAGGGCTAGATTATAACCTCAATAAGAACCCAGGGATTAAAGAATAATCTACTATATTATTAAGGAGGGTTAAGGAAAAGTGGGTATGACAATTTGACTGGTCATACACGCGCTCTGTCTTTTTCTCTCACTATCAACCGACCTTCAGCTACGTTTTCACACTCCTTTTACTGGTAATATGGTCGGGCAGTGTTTTCTCCTTGCCGCTCAACTTATGTTATCACTGGATGTTGACGTCTAATGATACATGGCTAGCTAGTGCAAGTCAGTTAGCTGAAACGCACGAACAAAATTAAAGCAAGCATAATTTAGAGTTTCTTTGTTTTTTTATTTTAAAAATATTTTATTTTTTTATTTTTTTTCTTTGTTTTAAAGTAATATTCGAAGTATTTGGAATGTCAAGAGTGAATTTTAAAATATAAAAAAATATTATTTTAATATATTTTTAAATAAAAAATATTTTAAAAAACAAATTTTAAATATTTTTTTATTAGATTTTACTAGAGCTATGAATTAAATTAAGTTTTTTATTGAGCTGAGATGAATTAATTTTAATTATTATTATTTTTAATTTAAAAATAAATTTTAATGAAATTTTTATTAGATTTTACTCTAACTGATCAAAATTAAGTTTTTAATTGAATCAAGATAAATTAATTTTTTCTATTATATTTTTTAACTCAAACCAATTTAAACTTTGAGTTAATCAAGTTTTCAACCGAGCTGTCAGACCGATGAGGAGTTAATAACTAAGATTGATCTGATGGTTAAGTGATGTGTACATGACTCGTTCCTCAGCTATTAAAATTAAGGCTAAGTGAATTTTCCCTGCAATTAATAAATCATCTGTATTTATATAAACTAAAGATGAATTTAATGTCCATGTTATATTATTGTAAAGGCACCACTGGTCATTAAAAAAAAAATTACATGTACTAAATTTGAGGTTAGTCCACGACCCAATCCTTCAAATGAAAATACAACTAATAAATTTTGAGTCATATAATTAAATTGATATGATTTTAAATTTATTTTTAAATATTATTAATTTAAATATTATAAATTTTATAGTTATCAGAGATTTATATAATTATTAATTTTAAAATTTATAAAATTAATTAAAATATACATATGAATACTAACATTAATAAAAATAAAAAATACAAGTGATACCTAGTCAATCCCTCCAGTTTCCGTACTGTAGAGCTAGTCGTCTGAGTGTCAACACCGAAACAGCAACCTCCATAGCCGCCGTTTAATAGCCGAATTCTCCATTTATTATAAATTAAGTACCGGTCACAGCAGCTTGAGTGATACTGCCTTTGCTGTCGCAAGTCATACACATCATCCCCGGCTTAGAGGGCTGGCTTGAATTTTTCTTTTTCTTTTTTAATCATAATATATAACAACTCATTAAAAAGTGCATAATACATTATTATTACATTACTATTTTCAAAACTCAATAATTATGAAAATTATGACTTACTAATAACGTTTCTGATCACTAACAATCAATCTAGAATCGTTAAATTGAATTCTCTTAATTTTTTATTAAACATTTCTTAAAATAAAAAATTTTGATGACATAATTTTTTTTAAAATCATCATCGATGGATAAACAAGCTGCAGCATCATTAGACTTCAATAACGAAATATTTTATTTCTTCATGATTATCAAAATTTATTCAAATAAAAGATCAATAGAAAGATGAATGGAAAGGGTTCATCATCGGTGATTCTTTCACCACAAAAGATCAAGGGTTTTTTGTTAAAAAAAGAAAGAAAGAAATAATAAAGAAAGAAGCTGAAAATAGCAAAGTTTCAACTCATCAAAGTGGAGATGAGTTCATTTTTATTATTATTATTTTCAATTTTAAAAAAAAATTAATCAAATTTTTATTGGATTTTACTCTAACTGATCAAGTTACAAGTTAAATAAAGTTTTTAATTGAGTCAAAATAAGTTAATTTTTTCTATTATATTTTTTAACTCAAACCAATTTAAACTTTCAGTTAATCAGGTCTTGTCAGACCCGTGAGGAGTTAATAACTAAGATTGATCTGATGGTTAAGTGATGTGTACATGATTCGTTCATCAGCTATTAAAATTAAGGTTGAGTGAATTTTTCCTACTATTAATAAATAATCTGTATTTATATAAACTGAAGATGAATTTAATGTCCATGTTATATTATTGTAAAGACACCTCTGGTCATTAAAAAAAAAATTACATGTACTAAATTTGA